CTAGAATATTCCACAATATTTTACATGATTTTCCAAAAATTTCAATTGTTTAAGTGGCTTAAATTTGGATTAATTTCTTATTCACCAAATAACGAATTTCGCTTAAATTATTTAAATTGATAATAACCAATTTTCAATACAAAATTCCAACACTTTGCACTTTGAATGCCGTTAATTATCATCAGAGGCTTGTCTAGTATGTAATAGTCAAACAATCCATTGATTTAACGAGACAATGAGGTTTTTGCAATTAATCAGTTAATTTTAGAGAAAGAGAGTGGATTCATCCCAAAATAAGGGCCCACAATAATGTCTATTGAACTTTGACCTTTTGAGCTCCATTAAAAAGTTAAGAATACATTTCAAAATAGTAAATTGTTGCAAAACGCGTGGTTAGAAAATAAGGAAAAGTCTTAGGTTTTGTGTAATATTATTTTATTAAAAAATGCGTGGTTGAAAAGAAAAGAGAAAAATATATTTTGAAAAAAAATGGGAATCAAACAAAGGCTCCCTTGTTTGAGCCCCATTTTTAATGCATTCTTGAACAGTGATTTAATCCCGTTTTAATCACACGTTTTTCAATAAAATAATATTACAAGTAAACCTAACGTACCTCATATTTTGCATTTGACTATACTTAGAAGGAAGATAAATTTACTGACATCTATTTGAATTGTTTTTTCAAACATGATTTCCGAAATTAGTTCTTTTACGAAAAATTACTTTCTAGAAAAGTAACTTTTAACCACAATATCGACGTGCTCAAAACCATGCCGATTGAATCATGTCTCTTGTCAGTCGGAAAGAACCTAGAACATGTAGCAGTATGGTAAAGAATTGGGAAAAATTGGCTTTACCACTCGATGGTGCTCTCTCTCAAGATGGGTCTTCAAGTCGCTGTATTCTGATGGGGCTTTGAGAGAGAGAAGAAAGTGCAAGAAATATCTAATGAATTAAAGAAAAACTAGCTACGAATTGTTGGAATAAAACTATATTGAAGAAATTTAAAAAGTTCGATTCACATTTACATAATAATCTAGAAAAGAAATCTTCATCAAATAAAAATATAAATCAAAATTCCCCAACCTGTTTTTATTTCTTAACTCAATCCAACTATTTCTTGATCTATATGCTGTGAGATTGATTATACCCAGTAGAAAGCGCCGCCATTTCTTTTTCATTCTTTTCCATTTCATCCCTAAACCTCTTGTAGATATCAGTCTGGTAATATTTCCTTGTTCTGAACACCAATATCATTGAAACGAG